AGAACGAACTTTATCAATAGTTCGTTTTTGATATACACAGAACAAATTTTCCAACTTATCAGTTTTAATGGTGAAATTTGTACAATATAAATAAAATACTAATTTTCTTGTAAAATCAGAAATCTATACTTAAAAAGTTCAAAATTTGGTAATTATTGACTTTTAAACTCATTAAATTTTGAAAATTTATTCTGTATACATAAACAAAAAAAAAAGAACTATTTTATAAAGTTCGTTTTGACTTGTTCTTATTATTCTTTTAGATCACAAGTAAATATTATCTGTGAAATATCGCATATGTAATTTTTTTTTCTTTGATAACAGATAACATTATTTTCATAAAAAAACAAACATAAATATTTAACCTTAGTATTTGCTTATGTTATCCGGATGAATAAACTTCTACCAATAATAACAAAAACAAAAAAAGCTAACTTATTTAATTAAATCGATAAGAAGATAGTTCATAACTTTTAAAGAAAATAATAGGAATTTTAAAATATACCTAAGTGATGGAAATATAAGCAAAATAATAAGAGATAATCATTCTCTTTTACTATTTTTCAGAGTCTCTCGTATTTCAACATTCAAAAGTCTAACAAAATAGTTCTGTTCGCAAATACTCAATGGAATAATTCAAATTCTCTTAATACTTCGTGTTTGTAAAAATTTTAAACCATCAATATAACCACGCCAACAAATTTCTTTTAATACTGATAAACTTGGCGGAAATAAAGCATGAGTTAAACGATATAAATTTTCTTGTGTACATGAAATATCTGTTCCTAATGAAATGAATAACAAAAAACAAAACATTTTTTTTTTTATTAAAAATATTTTTTTTTTTATTTACCTCGAAAATCAATACTATAGAATGATCCTGATTCATCACGTGGACAAATATCACTTTCACCAGCAAATGGTGATACTAAAATAGTATTTCCATCAATAATTGGATTATTATTTGTTAAACCACCATCCCAATAATACTAACGAAAAAATAAAAATATATTCTTTAGAAACAAAAACAAAAAAAATGCTTTATTTGTTTTTACTTCGCCACGAAATTTATGTGGAATTATTCCTGACCAATATGGTACAAAACTTGAACAAATAAGTACTTGTATAAGTTCTTCACGATTATGATAATGATCAATAATAAAATTTTTATTATCTTTCCAACGTGTTAATGATATAAATAAACGTCCTGAACATAATTCATGTGCATTTGGTGGTAAAATTCTACGTAAACCATTACGTATAATATCAACTATACTAAATGTTGGATGTAATGGTCCTAATGCACGACTTCGTGCACGTACAGCTATTTCAAGTGCATCACTACACATTTGTCCAAGACAACAACCACTCATTGCACATGCTGCAACAAGTGCACCTGCTGAACAACCAGCCATTTTAATACTAAGAACTTCTGGTGCATGTTCTTTAAATGCACATACAACACCAATATGATAAACACCTAAAAATCCACAACCAGCTAATGATAAATTAATTGAAGATGAATTTGATTTAAGAACCATTTAAAATTAAGTAATTATATCTTTTTTTCGTTTTTATTAAAATAAATAAATCTACAAAGAAAATAAAAATGAAGAATATTTTCTATTCTTTCATTGAAGATATCAACTACGAATATTTATCTTTTCAATTGTATCTTGTAAAAATACTAAATGATCTTTATATATATAAAGAAGGTGTGTGTAAAAGATATATGTTTGAAGCATATTTTAAAATAAATAAACGATAATGAAAACGTAATAGTAGGAAAGAAAAGTCATGTGAATGACCCATATAAAACAAATATAAGTACATCATTATTGTCCTTGAATTAAACAAGGCTAAAGAAGTATATAATAAACTTTTTGCCCTTTTCTTTTTCTATTCGATTGAACTGAATATAGACATATGAATCATGTGATAGATCGTTAAAAGTAATGGATAAACGGCCGGCCTACTATTAAAATTATCAAAAACGAATATATTTACAATAGCCAATTAAAAGATAAATATAAAGTTTTTCATTTAAAAAGATGTCACCGAAATAGAATTTATTTAATTCAATCATAGATTTAAGATCTTGATAACAAGGAAGAAAACGATAATAAGATACAAAGTTTTATGTTAACTTATAAAGTTAATTTTAGTGATTGAATTAATCTATATGTAATCTTCAACTTCGGAAGTTCTTCAATATATTTAACGAAAAAATCGTTGTCATATCCTATGTACAATAAAAACAAAACAAAATACCAACTTTGTATATTAACTAAAATGATGATTTATACCTTTGTTTAAGCAACTGGTATTAAGAACACTACTTTGAGCGTAAATTTCTCATGTAATTCAAAGCGAACAAAATTCGAGGGTAAACTATCGAGTGTAATGTGTGTTATATCAGGGTATGGCCAGCTAACTCTGCTACCGGAGTGAAATTCCGTAACGTTTTTCGCTTATTTTGTTTTCTCGATAAATATCAGGCAGTAGCACGTGAAGAGTTGCGAGACGTCTTAAATTAAAGAGAAAAGTCTTGTACATATTTTAAGATATTTTTCGCTTTTGGAACATTTGTTGTTTCCAAGATATAACAAAAGAATTGAACACCACTTTTGAAAAAGTAATAATTTTCAGAATTGAAAAGTAGTTATCAGTTTTTTAATTATATCTTGGAAACGACAAACGTTCCAAAAGCGAAAAATATCTTAGAATATGTACAAGACTTTTCTCTTTAATTTAAGACGTCTCGCAATTCTTTACGTGCTACTACCTGATATTTATCGAGGAAACAAAATAAGCGAAAAACGTTACGGAATTTCACTCCGGTAGCAGAGTTAGCTGGCCATACCCATCAACGGTTAGAACCTATCGGATCTGAAAATTTTTGAAACTGACAGGTTCTATCGATTGTTGTTTGAAACTTAAATATTTGGCTACTTTCTGATCGCATTGTCGGTATACCGTCAATTTATGTGGACAAACATGCAACATGAGACTTTCTTTTGATATAAATATTTAACAATTGAAAATGAATAACATTGTCATTACTTGATTTAGAAAACCATTTCGTGTAACTATATAAGTATTCCATTTGTATAATGTTTCTTTTTCATGCGATGATATTAAAAAAGTACTTTTACATAATTTAATGGCTTAATATCTTAGAAACTCGATCTCTTTATATTTTCACTATAGTTATATACAATCAAATTGTTTTGTATCCAGACATGATGACATTGAGACAAAGGATATATAAGAAAGAAGAAAACTGTAATAATACCATGTATTGGTAATAATGATATATATATATATATTTGAAATGGAATAAAAACATGCTGTGACTAATGAATACATGTATTATAATAGTACTAAGAGATAATTATTCATATAAATTTTATTCAATAGAACAGTTTGAAATATCAATGAATGTTTATTAATTCAATATGTTAGTTCTTTTTTAATAAATTCTTACCGAATACTTATCATGTAAAATATAATGTGAATAATCACAATAAAATCAAATGCCTTTTGATCAATTCAATAGATGCTGGAATCGGAGTTTTTTTTTAAATTTAAAATCAAAGTATCAATGAATAATTCAATTAGATATGTAAATTTTTTTCTAAGAAGTATTTTCTCACTTTTCTATATAGAAAGAACACGTGTGATTATGAAACGAAAGGAAAAAAAAACATCTGTAAGTTATTTCACACTCTTCTGAACACTTCTAAAGTAATTGCAATAATCTGAGTTGTCCTAGTTGAAGGATACACTTCGTTTAAAATGAAATACAGGTCAACAGTAGGGCAACATTACAGCATGTTTTCGACATTTTGCAGTAAGTAAAAAATATGATATTGCATACGGCATAAAAGTGGCTACCTATAGTGCATAAACACTCGTTTACAATTAATTAACGGTGGCTAATAATAATTGGTCTAGATCTTTAACCCTTTGGAACCGGTGGTTACAAAGGTTGTACCACCTATTTTCCAGTAAGGAAAATGTTTGTTTCTCATAAAACTATTATCATCTGTAAGGTAATAGGTCGTTTTAGCTACCATCGCATGCATATCTTTCCTCTCGTTCTTCCTGTCATATAGATGCTTCTCAGATCTTCTCTTTTCTTTCTGCTCTATATGACGCTATGATCACTTTCTTTCTTATCTTGATGTATTGTCATAAGGCTTTTATGTAATCATTTTGATTCACATACAATAAATTGATGAAAGAACCATTTTTCAATTGAAAAATAGTTCTGTCCTCAAAGGGTTAATAGATCCTTTGTGATTCAAATCGAACAAAAAACTCCAGTGATGTGAATAAGTTTCCAGCACGTGGTAGTCATTTGAATTTTTTTTACAATGCAAAACGAGCTAAAATGATTAGAAAGATATTGAACAAAACACACTCCAACGGTAATCATTTGCATTAAAACCCATTGAATTATCAAGGATCAAGAAAATTTCAGTGATAGTATAGTAACGATAAGAATGATTGATCTATGTAGTACTCAAAGGGAAGTTTTTTTTTTCGGTTTGTTATTCAAGATTATAGTATCTTCAAATTGATATACAGAAAATGATCGAAAAGATTCAATTTTTTTAGATCATTATTACTATTATGAAACAATGATTTGACGTATAAATAAACATCAAAAGCTAAATCTACATATTGAAAATATATCGATTAGTTTGAAAGCTCTATAATAAATATAACGAATGAAAAACTTTTAATCAAAATAAATAACTTATTTTTATTTTACTATTCGACAATCATTAGATAAATTTTGCTATATGATAAAAGTAAATATTAACTTATCTAATCGATTGAATACTATAGAATATTTTTATACTTCTTGTAAAATTTTCAAGTTTATTTATTTTTTTTTTTCGAGAATAAAAACCAACATTACATAAAAGAAAACAAAAGAATATTGGAATCAAAAAAACAAAAGAGTTTTCCTATTGTCAGATGTTGTCAATTTATAAATACAATCCTTCAGGTGTACCTTGATTTTTTCGATAAAGTACTGTTTCTTTACTTTTTCGAAAATCTTCATTTGTTACTTTCATGCGACGTTCTCGTAATGCCATTAAACCAGATTCAGTACAAATAGCCTAAAAAAAAAAAACCATTTTTCTTTGCAAAAAAAATTCAAATAATCATTTAAACAAACTTTAATATCAGCTCCACTAAGATCATCTTTAGCCATAATTAATTCTTCTAAATTAACATCATCAGCAAGTGTCATACGACCAGTATGAATTTTAAATATCATGCGACGTGTTTTTTCATCTGGTAATGGAAATTCAATTTTACGATCGATACGACCAGGTCGAATTAATGCTGGATCAAGACTATCAATACGATTTGTTGCCATAATAACCTAAGAAATTTTTTTTAATTTCTTCTTTTAATTATCAGAAATAGAAAAAAAAGCTAAATTTTTTACTTTAACATCTCCACGAGAATCAAAACCATCAAGTTGATTTAATAATTCTAACATTGTTCTTTGAATTTCTCTTTCACCACCTGAATTTGATTCATAACTAATGAAAAAAAAAAAAAAAAGATGAAAATTTAAATTTTATTATATGAATAAATATGTAAAATATACCGTTTTGTTCCAATAGCATCAATTTCATCAATAAAAACAATAGCTGGAGCATATTCTTCAGCAACACGAAATAATTCACGTACAAGTTTTGGACCATCACCCTAAAATTTATAAACAAAAAAAACAAAACTAATCGTATAAACTTTCGACATATAAATCTAAATTACCAAATATTTTTGAATTAATTCTGAACCAACAACACGTAAAAATGTTGCCGATGTTTGATTGGCAACAGCTTTGGCAAGAAGAGTTTTACCTTTATAAGAAATTTTATTTTATTAGAACAAAAAAAAAAGGTTTTTCGTCTCTTTTCAATGCTCACTTATTACTTATATACTCTCGTACTTACGAGAAAACTTATTACTGCCGAGATATTGCATTTTTTAGGATATTCTTTTTTGCTCAATCCCGTGGTCTTCCTGAAGAACATCAGGACAATGGAGATTCGAATTTCAACTTGCAACTTTTGCATAGAGGCAGATCTTAGTGAGAATAGTTCATTGTGAAAGTTGCAGTCTTTTTCATTCCTTCTATTCTGAAATAAGAACATCGGAATCTGCTGGTGTATCATGGATGTGAGCGACAAAATACCCTAAAAGTAGAATGTCTTGATAGTAGTAAGCTATGGGTCCGAACTCTTTTCAGAGTATTCATAGCTCATTAGGACCTCTATGATGCACATAGCCTCGACTCAAAAGTGATTGATCAGTTCTGTGTGTTTTCTCGTTAGTGATATGTTAACAAACTAGTCAACGAAAGGCATACAGATGTCATCTTCACACTATTATAAGAACGTCGATTTCAGAAGAAAACGACCAAGGAACTTTTCTCTATATAGTCTTGATTACTATTTGGTTAACATTTATTAAGAACGAAGAAGTCAGAGTATTGTAGAATCTAAACTGTTTGATACACGTCTAGTTATTATATACCTGTTCCTGGTTGACCATAAAGGATAACACCTTTCGGTGGTTTAATACCCATTTCTTCGTAATATTCAGGATGAGTTAATGGTAATTCAACAGCTTCCTTTAACAAAAAAAAAATAATTAGACAATAATTCGATTTTCTGTATGCGAATTTATATTTCTTTTTACTTTAATTTCTTGAATTTGTGCTGTTAATCCACCAATGTCTGCATATCTTAAATTCATACAGAACAAATTTAAAAAGTTTAATATTTATTATTATTTGTTTTTTTTTTCTTTACGTTTCTTTTGGTGCTTTTTCAAGTTTCATAACAGCAACCATAGGATCAACATCATCACCTAATACACCAATAACGGCATGAACCTAAAAGATAAAATTACTTATTGATCTTATATAAATGAAAAAGATCAATAATCTACTTTATGATTTAATAAGACAGTACATCCAGGTTCAAGTTGATCTTTATCAACAAATGACATTATAGTAACATAATGTTCAGAACCAACTGATGTTGAAACAATAGCATGATTATCATCAATAATTTCTTCTAAAGTACCAACAGCCATTGGTGATCCCCTAAAAAGAAAAACAAGATTAATTATATAGAAGTACTAGTAGATAAGATTTTGCTGTAAAGTGATATCTCGACTATTTTACAAATATCTCAATATAAAAGATACATTGTCAAAATCTCTACAAGAATATCAATGTATAAAAAATTCCATTGAATTGTTTTAATGATTTTCTTATAAATACATTCTGATAGTTCTTCGATTAGTTTTTTTCTTTTTTGAAATTCATACCGAATATCATCGACTTTTGAACGTTCTTCCTAAAATAATCAATTAAAATTGTTTTTTATTTTTAAAAACAAAATAAATTATACTTCATGACGATCTTCTTGTGGTTTTAAACGTTCTTGATTTTTAATAAATTCTTCTTCTAATAATAAATAATCTTTAATACGTTCAAATCGTAATTGTTTTAAACGACAACGTGTATATGGTAAAACTTGTGGTAATTTATTAGCTGCTTCAGGACCTTTTGTACGTTTTTTTCGTTTTCCTATACGTGTTGGTATAGGTGGTTCATATTTTTTTTTCTATATAAAATTTAATTTTTTAATTTATTTATTATATTAATCTATTTCTTTTTTTTTTTACTTCTTTATCTCCTGTACCATCACCTCGTCGTTGACCACTTGAACCTTGATTTCCCTAGAAGAAGATCAATTTCAAATCCATGTTGTTTTTTTTTTT